TAAATGTGGCTGCTGCTTCATTTTGATTCATGCCTTTGATTAAAAGACAAAAAGAAAGGGCTCATCAGGTCACAAAATGGCTGCATATTATCCAAGTGTGTTTATCTGATGTGCTGATTTTGGCAACATAAGAATGTACCGTTTTTACAAAATAACAACCATCCAGAATCATTTGCAATGATATGCATGAACAGGGGACCATATTGCAGGAGACTAGAGCACAAGCTGTTTATAGGCAGCAGGTATAAGATGCATAACTACACATGGGAAAGCTGGCATGCTAGCATCAGGACCAGATGGAAGAAGAAAGGACAGGAGGCTTGCATGAGAGAAAGAGAATGTTGGAGTAAAATGGAGGGAAAATGGATAAAAATAGATGGACACAAAGATGTTAAAGACGGGAAACGGGCAGAGGGAGCTGATTGCATGAGAACATCTTGCTGCACCTTCCTGTTCCTCATGTTTGTAAGGGGTTAATTTACATCTAATTAATGGACCATAAGACATGAGATTCCATAATGAATATGGAATCAGTCTTGTGGACCGTTGGGTTATTTTAACCAGAAGATTGGAGCTTTTTATTGCAGGGATTATGTAACACTTTGTATTAACTGAGAGACAAAAGAGAGAGTCACCTTCAAAATGTTTAAGAAGATTTATTTCTAAACAATTTTAAACGAGACTAACTCTAAACTCTGAATGATGGATGGATCTGGTGTGAATGAGACGTGAGATGGATGGTGTGTGTGTGAGTGATGTTATGATCAGAACTCTCGTATCCGGAGAAGCAAGTCTGAGGTGTTGTGATGTTTTGCTCTTAAGCTATGATCGGAGTTTCATAAACACATGGGACGCCATATTGTCGCTCCACACACACCCTTCAGGATGAGACCTCCGTACAGATCCAGAATGCCAGGTCCTCGGACCCCCCTTTCGGTACCGGAGCCGATGAAACAGCGTCAGCAGTACGACAAACTAGTCTTTGGATTGTCTCCACGTAAAAAAGCGACAGGTGGTTGACCCCTTTGGGTCAGTGAGTTCAGCTTTTATTCTGAAAGGAACCGTTGCTTGGTTGGTAAAGTGCAACAGATTTCATCCAGCTTGTTGGTTCTTTGCTTAAAAGGAAGTCCGGGTGGCCGGTCCGATACTTCTCTTAGCATGCGGTAAACTGAACTAAGATGGCGTGGGGACTGGTTTTATTAATCTGGATGTTTTGATTTCTGGTCGAATCAAAGTTGGCAGATTTATAAACACCACAGAGACTATGCCACGCTTCAGAAAGGAAGGTTCTGATTGGATCAGTAACAGCAATGTGTCATGCGTTTACATTACGTGTAGTCAGCATGTCTAGTGCAGCTAGATTAAAGTCATATTACTTATTAAAGCATATTAATCATAACATTGTTATTTCACAGATTGGTCAACATCTTATTATTGACTAACACTTGTTTTGATTAGCTCTATTTAAAATAGAGTTCTTTGATTTATTAAAAGGAAAGAGTCCTTTATCTTCATTCTTCTCTTGAGCTGGAAAAGAAGCAGTTTAGAAGCGAATGCATGACCTTGAGGCCATATCTCATGCAGACTAGTTCTGTGTCAGAGGTATCTGTGGAGAGAGGTTAAATAACCTTCGGTGGAATAGCTCCTCCATCACGTTACATGTTTATCTCTGCAAATATTTCAAAACGCTCACCAAAACCAGCAGATTCCACCAAACCAAACGTTGTTCACGGCTGTTTTAGTGTATGAAGGCAAATTAATCTCCTGCAAACTCAGTCAGAACCGCCCGCCACTCCTTTGTTGCAGGATAAATACTGGATGGGCAGCATCTGTGGTTTTATGTGTTTTATGTGTGCATTTAATCCACCGGCATGCAAGACCAATAAATGTGGAGAAGAAAGATCAAATTCGTTCATCATCAAAAAGCCGGTGGAGCAGTGGTCTTTCTTTCTGACTTCATCTGTAAAACATTTTTCCCACCACAAACCTTCATGTGCTGTTTGGTCAGAAAGTATAATCTGCCTTTGTGTCATAACTACAGCCACAAAATTATAGTTGCTGTAGCCATCAGACTTTCCCCAGCCCTGCATAACCAATCCTAGGCTTTGGGCAAACAACACTTTCCTTCCATTCGTCCTTCCAACAGCCTCTGTAGCTGAAGCCGTCTGCATTTATGAACCGTAAAATTAGAATATTCAAAGAAAAAATGGCAACAGGTACAGCAAAAAGGTGGAATATTGGCACAATCATCAAATTCAACCAAAACCATAAGTTTCACATTGGTGAAACTTGAGACTCAGCTGGCGTTTCTATGGCGAAGATGATGGTTAGAGGCGGCAACCAGATATAAAAAAACATGTGGAAAACGTGGAGGTGAGAGAAGCACGAAGAACTCAGGAAAAATCCCAAAAGGATTAGCATCACAGTAAACCTCACAGCCATAGGTCACATGCTTGGGAATGGGTTTCTGTGGGAAAGCTGTACATCATAATTATGAATCTTACTTTTTATTCATTTTAATGAATGTTGTTAATGGTTAAAATGGCTTAGTGATTGATCAATTAAACATGTTATGATTGAACAGCTGTACACTATAACTCTTTATATTTCGCTTTAAAGCTGGGGTACGGAGTTAAAAAATGCTGAGGTAACAAATGTGACTATGTGATCCTGTTCTATAGTTGGTCTTTTAAAATGATTATTCCCCTAAGCTCCTCCCCTGGCCTCTACAGCAAAACAAATAATTTACGTGAGCCTAAAGCATTGACCAATAGAGGAAGCTGGCATTCAATGAGAATGCAGCCCACAGGGGTGTGTCCAGGGAGTGGCCTGGGGCAGCACATGCCACCCTTGGAATCTGATTGGCCACCCCAGGTGCCACCACACTAATTTACCTTTAAATAGGCTTTTCATTGTCTACAAAAGGCTTGAGGGTAAAACAAAAAAAGCATAACCAGTGGTGCCACCCATGCACAAAGTTGTGCCTCACCAGGGCCACCCCATTTTAATAGATCTAGACACGCCACTGGCTCCCCAGACCCTGTGCATAGGGTGACGACGGAGGCAGCCGGACGTTTGCATCAGAGCAATGTTTCTCATTTACTGGGGTGTGCCCCCTTGGGGGTAAATGGCCTGTATTTGTATAACGGGGTATAAGAGGGTTCTACAACCCCCCGAGGCGCTTCACAACACAATCAGTCATTCACCTGTTCACACGTTGGTGGGGATGAGCTACATTGTAGCCACAGCTGCCCTGGGGGTGCTCTGACAGAGGTGAGGTTGCTGAACACTGGCGCCACTGGTCCCTCTGACCACCACCAACAGGCAAGGCGGGTTAAGTGTCTTGCCCCCGAGGGCACAACAGCAGAATTCTCCGGTCAGAGCCGGGATCTGGCTTTTGCGAGACCTTCGTCATCACCCTCTCCTTATTCTGCTCTTTCTTCCTATTCTGCCTTTCCGGGGTCCACAGATTTCTCTCTTTCATACTAATTTTCTCTCTCAAGTTCTTTAACTTTTTTTAATCACATTTTTTCTGACTTTAAAGGGACTTTTCGGACTTTTGCATTTTTATGCTCGCGATTGCCCCCTCAGGCCAAAAGCGTAACGGCAGCTTCAATAGTGGGCTCGTGCACGAGGCGCGCGGGCTGTACGTGCACACTCCTTAACAAAAATAACAGCTGAGACAGTCCCATGTGTGTGTGTGTGTGTGTGTGTGTGTGTGTGTGTGTGTGTGTGTGTGTGTGTGTGTGTGTGTGTGTGTGTGTGTGTGTGTGTGTGTGTGTGTGTGTGTGGCCCGGTGGACAGAAGAACACAGCAAATTAATAAAATAATGTGCCTCTGTCTCTGCAGCTGCACTTTCTCGTTGGCTGGCCGAACGTGCTGTGTGTGTGTGTGTGTGTGTGTGTGTGTGTGTGTGTGTGTGTGTGTGTGTGTGTGTGTGTGTGTGTGTGTGTGTGTGGCCCGGAGGACAGAGGACAGGAGAACACGCAGCTAATTAATTAAATAATTTGGTTCTGTACCTTTCTCTTCAGCACAGCCGACAGAGGTTTATGATGGGTCAGTCCTCCTGCATGCTCAGATCATTCCCTTCCCTTGCTTGAAAAATTGTTCCAAAATGAAAGTTGAACCCACATCTTTTTTTATCTGTGAATTCAATGCCGTTCGGCGAGTCTCAAATAAAAATTTGGGCATCTTACTGTAAAAAAATATACCATTAATGTAAAAAAGAAACTCTAAATGACAAATTATGTCCACGACTGGAGTCAAACCCAATTCTTCTGCATGAGAGTCAGACATCTTACAAGGTGAGCTACACACCAGTAATATTTGATGTATCTGTAACTTTTATATCCTTGATGACAGCTGAAACAACGTCAAACCAAAGAACGGTTCGGAGTGAAAATGGCTATTTTGTTGCTAATTTGCAGGAAATATCTAGAAGAAAGTTCTACAGAAAGTAGCTAAGGGTCCTCAGAAATGTAGCTAGCTTTGTCACTAGGCGTTAGGAACAGCGACAAAGTGGCACTGCCTCTCTCTCTGCTGCTAAAGCTACGGATAGCAAATGCTACGGGCGATGCCTGAGCGTGAACGCGCATGAAGCAGCCTGCTCGACCCGAGCATCTCTGTTTTTCTGTGATTTTACAGAAAAACAGGCAATCACAGTAAAAATGCCAGGGCTCATTCTACAGGACCAGGGCATTGCAGGAGAACGTATGAAGAAGACATTTATTATTTCTACACATGTTTTGGCTGTCACACTTCCATAATGTCCCTTTAAACATATTTTTAATCACTTTTACAATCTTAATTTTATACATTTTACTTTTTTGTGTGAAGCACCTCCTCTTCTTGATGACAGCATATGGATCACAGCTGAATATTTAGCTTATAAGCACTTAAACAATGTTGTGATAAGGTATTATTTTCATAGTCTTTTATCCTGATGAGCTACCCTAAGGAATTCCCCTAATAGGCTTCTGATTGCACCTATTTTTACTTACTTAGGGTTGCTGACCACTTGTCTACAGGAACCTTCTGACACCCAACCACAGTATGGATCCCTGGAGGCTATACAGGACCTGGAAGACAGTTACATCCATCATCAGTCACTCAAACATTGCACTTGGGAATCCCGTTAAAATATTAACTTCATGTGAGATTTCAAACGTACTTTTTGCATCGTCCATGTCTTTCGCATCGAGACAGCGGTACTTTGACCACACATGAGGTGAAAGCCACCCACAGGGCATGGCCCCTGGTGTCTATCTGCATCCCGATGATGCGTTTGTCGTCCACACCATCTATACTGCACCTGAAAGAGTTGGAAGAGAGGATCACGCATGCCGTCTCAGGTCATTTCTTGGATGGGAAGCGTCTGGAGAAAAGTTCAAGTTCAATTTGGGAGAGGTTTAATTGAATAAAGTAAACGTGGAGATTAGGATATGGCAGAAGGACAAACTGTGAGGTCAGCGAGAACACGGATAAGGCTGGGGAGGACGACATGAGATCACGAGTACTGGCAGATATAAAGAGATAAGAAAATGGGTGATACGGATTCAGCAGATAAACAGACAGATGGCCACTGTGAGCAGTCAGCAGCACTTAACTGTAAAATCCACTACTAACAACTCGCTCAAGCCCTTCCACCTCCCACATTCGACCACTCCTCCATCCCTGTTGGTCGACTTTGTCTCCATGGCCTCCCAGCAGCGTGCTCTAATCCCTCTGGGGTGTGTCAAGCATCTTTTTGTCCTTTCTTCCCCCTCTGCTCCCCTCCGCTCCCCTCCCCACCCAGCCATCCAGCTCCTGGGATTTAATCTCCTCTTCGCAGAGCTCCGGTTCTGCATTAACGTTCTCAATTAGGGCTTAGAGTCCATCTACGCTGGCTAATGCACAACAATCGGGCCTACACTGATCCAGTCAGCCAGCCAGGCGTGGAGGCAAAGTCACTTACGGAACCCGACTAAAGCCAGATGGCCGGCAGCCGACGGATGCTCAGCGTCAGCCAGCAGGAGAGAAGGGAGGAAGAGGTGAGAAGACGACGCGGGAAAGGGAGAGGACGAGGTTGAGGGCAGCGGCCTTCACCCTTACTCCGGGTTTCCACCGGAGCCGTCAGCAGCACGTTACTGCAGCAGCAAGTCTTGCTCGCGTAAGCTGCTGCTTGGCCCTTCCCACGAGACGCGAAGCAGCAGGGGAGCAGCTGTCACCGACAGGGCACGAAGTCACACGAGTGACTTCGTCCGTAAACACAACAACAAGCAGGAGAAAACTACAACATGGTTTGTGTTTTATGTTCTGTCCGTTTTATAATCGCCAATACGGACCTGAAAAACAAAGGAGACCGCTAGCTAGGTGATAACTTCTCACGGGGACGCACAGTTAGTAACCATTTTTATAAGTAAAGCAACTGGAAGGCAGTACGTTCTTTATTCTGAAAATCTCGGTAGCTTCTCTCCATTTCCGCGTCCGATTTCCTGTCTTTCCTTTCCCAAAAATGTCGAAATTGACCCGTTTCAGAGGCGTCGCGCGTAGAAAATAGAACCGGCGTGTAAAGGCCGCGACATGCTGCTCCTGAGCCGACTCGCGCTGCTGACGGCTCCGGTGGAAAAGGTTCTGTTGACCACAGCGGTTCCTATCAGCAGCTATGACGTGCTGCTGCAGTAACGTGCTGCTGACGGCTCCCGTGGAAAGCCGGGGTGAATCAGCACACGGCTACAGCACGTTAGATAAAAAAAACCATGAAATGAATTTTCTCCTTCTCACCCGTTACCTCCTAACCAAACATTTGCTCTGGCAAGATTGTAGTTTCCCCCCTTTTATTCTTTTTTTTACTCCAAATACAATGTTTGTCACCCTTCTGGACCAAGTTCATGGTCACCAACTCCCATCAATATCGCTCAAACCAACAGACATGTAACCTATTAGCAGTAGATGGGAGGCTGAGGACAAACACAGGCCTCGGTGTGTGTGTGTGTGTGTGTGTGTGTGTGTGTGTGTGTGTGTGTGTGTGTGTGTGTGTGTGTGTGTGTGCTGTCTTCAATCAGCCAGCTTTTTTTGAGGAGCTGGGCTCGGGCTGTGGTTAGCCACCACACTCAAACACTAACCAGAGCCTCAGTGTCCATGTCTTTAATTTAGTAGCTGTGGTTGGGCAGAGTGTAACCTGATAAAACTTTTTAAATGATAGAGTAGCCATCTGGTTGGCTGGCTTCACTACAGAGCTCGGGTTGTAATGATGGAGCTGGTGGGTTGGCTGAGCCAACAGACGATAGAAACACACATCCAAGGAAGAACAGGCCTCTCTTTGACTGCAGCAGCTGTATCTCTGCTGCTCACACACATATTCCGAGTTTGGTACCTGTCAGGGTTGTAGACGTTCAGCTCTTCTAGGAACAGGCTGTCGTTGAGAAAGCCGTTGTTCATCTTGGCCAGGAACTTGAGGATGATGCCTTTCTCCGATCCCAAGAACACAACCGTGTGGTTCTTATGGGGGCCCGCTTTGTTGTCGACCACAATGCGCGTCAGACGGTACCTGGAAAGGGGAAGCACAACAAATAAAACCAATCAGATCATTAATTAGTCCATTTGTCTGCAAGTCTAGAGGAACAGCAAATGAAATGATGCACAACAAGAGCAGCGATCCACGTGCGTGTGGTGAAACTTCAGTCTAGATGATAATTACGGAGCCGATCAGTCAGTCAATAATTGTGCTTTTTACTGTGTGTCTAAAGGAGACAACAGAGCTGCAGGGGATTCACACAGCCTCATTAAGTCGATGTTGTTTTTTTTCATCAGACTGGTGTAAAACGCGTCAGGAGGGCTCTAAGAGAAAATATATGTATAACACCTTAGTATCTTAAGAGCTAATTATTTTTCTGATTGACATTCCGTGATTGCGCTATTTAAATCAACCCCTTTGGGTTAAAACTTCAGATTCGGGTTGTTTGATAAGACCCCCGACAGCCACTAGTTTGTGTTTGTGAGGACCGTCAAATTCCGTTTGTTTGTAACTGCTGTTTATTACTTTTAGATTCTAGTGGCAACAAAGATGGTGTAACTAAAAGAAAAGGGGCTCGTATTTGTACGTCGGCGTGTTTTATGCTAATGCTTTCATTATTTTTTCACCTCCCTGATCCTGGAGGATCCTTTTCTGAGACAGTTGCAAAAACCAAGGTCACTTTTCAAGGGTTTGCAAACACGTTAACCCGTGAAGGCACTATCTCGTTAGAAACAACAACTGAAATGCATCTGTTTAATTGTCTTAAAGGTGCAGTGTGTAAGAATAAAGAAACATTTCTGCGGTGAAATAGTCCCAAAACAGTATAATGTCTAGTAATGTACACATAAGATATTTTTGGGCCGATACCGATATCCGATATTAAGATCACTGTAATGGCCGATAACAGATATTTGCTGATACCGATATACTGAATCTCTCCAAACCTGAGACCATGGTTCTCGACCGGAAAAGGGTGGCTTGCCAACTCCGGTTCGGGGGAGAGGTCCTACCTCAAGTGGAGGAGTTTAAGTATCTCGGGGTCTTGTTCACGAGTGAGGGTAGGAGGGATCGGGAGATCGACAGGCGGATTGGTTCGGCGTCTGCAGTGATGCGGACACTGAGCCGATCTGTCGTGGTGAAGAGGGAGCTGAGCCAGAAAGCCAGGCTCTCGATTTACCGGTCGATCTACGTCCCAATCCTCACCTATGGTCATGAGCTTTGGGTAATGACCGAAAGAACGAGATCGCGGATACAAGCGGCCGAAATGAGTTTCCTCCGTAGGGTGGCCGGGCTCAGCCTTAGAGATAGGGTGAGGAGCTCGGACATTCGGGAGGGACTCGGAGTAGAACCGCTGCTCCTCCGGATCGAGAGGAGTCAGTTGAGGTGGTTTGGGCATCTGGTCAGGATGTCTCCGGGACGCCTCCCTGGGGAGGTGTTTCGGGCATGTCCTGCCGGCAGGAGGCCCCCGGGTCGACCCAGGACACGTTGGAGAGGTTACACCTCCAATCTGGTCCGGGAACGCCTTGGGGTCCTGCCGGAGGAGCTGGTGGAGGTGGCCGGGGAGAGGACGGTCTGGAGCTCCCTAGTTGGGATGCTGCCCCCGCGACCCGGACCTGGATAAGCGGAGGAGGAGGATGACGATGACCACACACATTTACTCTTCTGAGATGATTACAATCACTGTTTACATGACCAAACTAATACCCATCACCCCCCTCTCTGAAACAGGCAAACAAATGGAGACAAGATGGAAGAAATGTTGGTTGTTAATATCAGTCCGGTTTTGTTCATCGGACCGATACCGATAGGTTAAATAATGACTAATATCAGCCGATACCAATATACTGTCCATCCCTAATAATGTCTCAATCATGATGGAGGGAAACTTGTACTGAAGCATATTTCATTCTCAGTCGGCTGCGGGGATAGTCAGTTTTTCTCCTTTCAAAATAAAAGAAAGAGGGACGTAGCTAGCAGGAATTCACATGATGGGGTGGGGCCAGGCTTCACAATGAGCTCACCCGAAACTCTGGACCCACACCCACCCTCACACCTGGGCTCATGTGTTTATGTAGAAGATCATCAGGGGGTCTTTTGTTCCCTCTTCGGGGGGGGGGGGGTCACTCCCACTGGGTTTGAATCTGGGACTCTCCACCATTTGACCTTAGAACTGAAGAAGCCTCTCGGATGAGCGGTGAAACGTCTTCAAGCAACTCAAAGAAGTCCAGGCGCTTTTCTTTCAAAGCTCCTTAGACTACAATGACCTGGATGACTGAGAACCTTCACAGACATAATACATTACATCGTTTTCCCGTAAAAGTTTATCACAAATGTTGTGAAAATAGCCAGAAGTGCAATCTCCCAACACGGGGGGACAGAATATTTCAGGGGAACACAATTTCTCACAACACCGGACCTCCCGGCTGACGTCGCCCCTCCTCCGTGTGTGAATCGTGACCGCTTCAAGAGCTAACAGAACTAGCTTGCTTCCTTCTGACCTGGTAGGCTGATAAAACGGTCATAATTATAAATACTTTTTTAAAGAGGTCGAGTTGCTTGCTTTAAGCTTCGTGCGGGTTAAGCTAGATAGGTTGTAAATTGTTTATACAGTCAAACTCATGAGTGAGCCACCGTAGCTGCAATACTTTCTCTGAACTGCATGGCGCTAAAGAGTCGCATTTTTTCATCATGATTTCAATGAATTTCACACACTGGGCCATTAAATCTGCTTCTTGCTTTCAAATTAGCAGATCAGGTGTGGTTAGATGTACTGTAGGTAGATCTTCGGCCTCTAAACTTGATGTTGTTCTGTTTGTTTTTAAAGCCACGGAGTTGCCACTAACTGGATCTGAGGATGTTTTAAGAGAGAAGCTTCCAAAAACAGCTTATGGCTTTGAGGGTTAATAGAAGCAGATTGGATTTAAAGATTAGAGATGGGAGCTTATCCGGAAATCTAGGAAGTCCTCTACTACTCCTATTAATATTAACTGCATGTTCTTTATGTAAAATGGGTCAAAAGTTACGCTCCAGTGAAACAATTACGGTCAAAAGGAAAATTCTTTGAATATATTAGTGTATTTTACACCAAGGCCATTAAAACGGAAAGTCACACTGATGTGACCTGCTACACTGGCTTCAATGCAGTCAACGTTAACAAAAATTGTGCTGGTCTAATTAGGTTTTGATCCAACCGGCGCTTTAAAGAGAGCGTCAGCGGGATTGAAAATTCCCAAAAATAATATAATTTCAACATGAGACAATTTCTTTCTTTCCTATTTAGACCCAGACAATAAAAATCAGAAGAGCAAGACTCTTCGGCGCACGTCTCCAGCTTGAGGAGATTGATTGTGTCCAGCCAGCTGAGGCCTTCGCCAAAGTGAAGCCAGGCTGGAGACAAAAAAGGCTTTTTCATATCAAGTCAAAAGCTTGCACTTGATATTAGGATGTCCTTTCTGGGGTGCAACAAGACTCAGATCCTATTACTGATTTCATTTCCAGCTGAGTTCAGATCAAAGCAGATGTTCTCTTGGGTTTCATTTGCATTTGTGATGCTTTAAAGTGTTGTGCCCAAACAAAACGATAATTTCTAATGAAGCACAGAATGTTCGTCAAATATCAATAAGGAGATGGGATTTATTTCAGACTATTTAGAAAATCCACCAAAACATCCTAAATTAGCTGTGTAGCTGTCTAGGACGGTGTTTTTCGTCCGTCCTAGACAAATCGTTGTGACAAAAAAACGGTGAATGTGAGGGTAATTTGCAAGTCTGTGACTATCCGGTGTGACCGGCTCTGCAACAGCTTACTGAGCACCCTCGCAACCAAAGTCAGCCTCCAACAGTTGTCAAGCACTGCTTGAAAACCTACAACTTCCCTCTGCAATCCACCAATGGCTCACAGAAATTTTGGACCGTACAGCGTGTCACCTTTCTGCAGTTCTGACAGTGTGACATGAGCAGTCCTGTGCAACGGCTGAAAAACGCACTTTGTGGTCCGGGCTTAAGAGACGTCATGAAAGGGGCAAGCGCCCAAGCGTCCAGACAGAAAATTACACTTTTATTTCTCTTTTCAGTGAAAGCTAAAAATGCTCTTTCAGCTAGTTTTGTCCTTCTGATAAGAACGTTGCGTTTCCAGAGCTTGGATTAAATGTGCATTATGGCCTCACAAGCAGTGAAGTCAACCGCTCAACAAAAACATCGTTTCTACTCCAGTTTTATCCCTTTGAATTTGGTCTTGGAGATTTTATTTATTTTTTCTGTTTATTACTTTCAGGTTCTTTACACAGCAGCCAATTCACAGCAAAAGTCTAAAAGCCATCTCTAGAGGAAGTAACCAGACCCATATCAAGTCAAACCAACAGTCAGAAGAGAAATATTTTTGTTGGTGGGTTTTCTACATGTTTTCAATTAACTCAGTGTAACAGAATGAAATGACTGTTTTCCCCCTCCTCTGATATGGTCTCAAGGTCTCATGCATTTGCTTCTAACCTGCTTATTTTCAGCTCAACAGAAGACTGAACTCTTTTCTTTTAATTAATCAAAGAACTCTATTTTAATAAAGCTAATCCAACCAAGTGTTAGTCAATGAATAAGATGTGACCACGGTTCTGAGCTGTCCACTGAACTCAGTTGAGGAGACGTGTGAAAAGAGGATGCTGGTGAAGATGACCTCCATCTTGGAAAACTGCTCCCACCCACTGCATTGCACTGTGGAGGCCATGGTCCTTCCGCGGCAGACTGAGACATCCAAAGCCCCCTTCAGACAGGCCATGAAAAACGGAAATGTTCCGGAATCTGTCCGTAAGACCTTTCTGTCTGAATACAAACATCCGGATAACGTGTTCCGGAATTTATCCGGACGAAACCCCTAGTAACAGGTCCGGACTTGTTACGGACAGGGTGGCTGCTTCAGACTGGTGAGGTAAAGTTCCGGACAAGAGGGAGGGGGAGGAGCAGGGGACCGGGGGACGCTAGATATCCCGCTGCTGTAGAATGCGGCGAACCACGGCAGCTCGCCTCCTACGGTAACGTCTAGACGCGTGACGGAGCGCTTCACACCGCTTCAGTGATTCCTTTAACCATTGAGCTTCATCATCCAGGTCTCTTATGCGTCTTCGTGTGCGCAGAATTATGCTTAAGCGCCTCGTGATTTTTATCTTGAGAGGCGCTATAGAAATGATATTTTCTTCTTCTTCTTCTTAACATAAGTCCGATTACCCCCCCCCCCACCCCCCACCCCACCCCCCGCCACCGTCAGACATCTGGAACTTTTCCCTGCTGTGTGAACGCAGCCGAAAGGACAAGTTCCGTTACAAAAGTGGTGTGTCTGAAAGCACAGTTCCGGTTAAAAACCGGATTGAATTGTCCGCAAATGTTCCAGAATGTCTATCTGAAAAGGGCGTGACTGAAATCCAGACACACCTAGTTTGAACCTAGTGTAATTTCATTGAGTTTGGTTTTGGTCTGAGTTCTGTGGAACTTTTGGGGATTGTGCTCAATAGAGGTAGGAAGTTGGTTAGTTTAAACCTACTTCCTGTGCTTGCTCAGTGGAGCATTTGTAGAGGTTAAGTTCACCTGTTGGCTGTGTGTGCTCAGTGGAGCATAAGTATTGCATTTGGTGTGTGTGCTCAAAAGCGCTTTGATTTAGTAATTAATACTGTTTTGTTTCCATTACCTTAACAGCCCTGTGCTCGCCCTTAGTTTGGTTTGGACTTAATCGGTTTACTTTCTCTTTTAGCCCAAAAAGGGAAATTGCAGAATTTGTGAGTCTACTCTGACTTATTGGTTTATTATATTAGTGGAGCTGAGCTCCAGCTTTCGTGTTCCCTCAGGTCCTTGCTTTATTCCGTCTTTAGGAGGTCACCTTTAGTTCTTGTGTTTAACTGACCTAGTAACCTTACATGAGTTCCTGACTCCGCGCCTTTTATGTTACGACGTCCTTCACCAATACCATCACCAGTCGTAACATTGACATAAAACAGAACACTGTCATAGGTCATTCATTCCCTCTGTGGTAAGAGTGTATAACTCATCAGTTGAACTGGTACTGGCGTTATCCTGTTACACAATAACATCAATGCAATACTAAAGCTTGGTTTATGCTTGACGCGTCCGCGAGTTTCGCACGGCTCCGCGAGGCAAAATTGCATCATTTTAACAGCCACGCCCCTCCACCGCGCCTCCGCACGGCCCAAACTTTCCGCACCGCGCACCTAGGAAATTTTCTAACCACGCGGACGGTCGGACGCGGAAAAACATGGCGGACTGGCAAGAACTAGTATGGCAGAGGTTCGTAAATACAGACATTTGTATGATTCAGCTCTCAGAGATCACCGTGATCAACATGTTGTTAATAATTCTTGGAGAGAAATAGCTCGCACTGTCGGAAAAGACGAGGACGCTGTTAAAAATGCTGGAATGCCATGTTGTAAACAACAGTCGTTTTTACTTCTACTATGGTGTAGTGTTGGATGCATGCCGTAGAGCTCCATGCTGCCCCCTACAGTTTGGGAGAATATTGGCTCACCGCAGAGACAAGCCGCATGAACCGTAAACGCTGCAAGTTGTGAAGCACATTCCATCCGCGAGCCGCATCACCAAGCGGAAAGTGAACGCGTCCAGCATAAACCAAGCTTCAGTATGTGTTCAACATTGCGCAATACCTGATGAATATGGAATATTCTAACCGCTACCCTCCATGGCTTTAAATTACCTCCAAGAGAAACACTTAAAATCTAGAGACGGATTTAAAAGTAACTTTAACAAAATGGGCCTCGTTCCTCCTATGATCGCTTGCAGGGAGGGAGATAACAAAGTGTGAATTAGTGTTTCCTTCACTCCACGGAAAATAGGTCAGTTGCTGGTTTGTGATGAAGGACTACCGTCTTTTAATGAGCCCAACTCTATGAGCGGCACTTGAAATAATTACTGTCCTGGGCTGAAGAGGCTCACAGACCACTGATTAAGATGACGACGGCGGCCTTTTCTGAGTGCAAAGTACTTACCGCACCATGGTCTTGAGAAACCAGGGTCTGTTAGCAATGGAGGGCACGGCCTCGTCCATCAGAGGATGCATCTTGATGAAGTTGAGTGTGTCGTCGGGGAACTCGTTGGATACCTTGTACCTCTCCATGGATGGAGAACCAGCGCAATTGCCCGGTCTGAAAATGGAGAGGAAGGAGACGAAAGTAATGAGTGTGGAGGATGACGGGAGGAGAAGGAAACAGACAGCAAAGCAGATGGAGAAAAAAGTACAAATGAAAAACCACTTCAAGACAAGAGGCCAACAGAGAGACAAGGTCTAATTTCCTAAAATCAATAAGAGCGAAGCTATAAACGGCCCAACTCTTATTTCCGAGAGGCTTCGGTCAAACAGGGGGCACGTCGTGTCATCGTGTCTCTAAATTCGGGGTAAAACACTGAGACACTCTATCTTTGTGATCTTTTACAGGGAGCTGGAGAGGTTCTTGTAAAAGAGAAGCTGCTTTTGATAGCGTATCCTCTTGGCAGGCGTGTCACCTCTGAGGGCTTGTAAGGCCTCTTTACAGTGTGCACTTTGATACCCTTTCACAGCACATAATATACACCAGACCCTTGAAATATTAGCCAGCTGGCCTGGTGCTGCAGATATGAAAGGATGAATCCCTAAAATTTACATTCGGTCTCAAGAGAAATCAGTTTCCCTGTGATCATTTCTGTTTATGTTAGACGCAGTGAGGTGTAGCCACGAGTGCAGAAAATGTACCGGTAGTTAAAGTCCGACATATCTTTTTTATCTTCATTTCTACAGAAACCTGGAAAGAATTCAACCAAGGAATGCAGTCCGACCCGCTCGATAACAGCTGAAGTGGGCTTCGGTCTCAACCCGACGGCGACCTCTCGTAGGATAAAAGTTGTCCGGAACAATATCAAACAACAGTTTCAGGTAGTTCCTAATTAAAATATGGTCTCACAATGTCACAATAGACTACTGTAACTCTCTTTTCACGAGTCTGAGCAGAACCTCCCTGAACCGTCTACAGGTGGTTCAGAACGCCTGTGCTCGGCTTCTGACCAAGTCCTCCAAACACACCCACATCACCCCGCTTCTCCTCCAGCTTCACTGGCTGCCAGTCAACTTCAGGGTTCATTTCAAGATCCTGGTTCTGGTCTATAGGGCCTTACATGGACAAGCACCATCTTACATTGGTGATCTTCTTAGACCCTACACCCCCAGCTGGTCCCTGAGGTCCAGTGATCAAAGCCTACTGGTTGTGCAGCGCCAGGCTAAAGGTCAAAGGTGACAGAACATTTGCTGCTGTGGCCCCCAGACTCTGGACCTCTCTCCCCCTGAGCCTGAGATCAGTGGACTCAGTGGTCTCCTTTAAAAAGCAGCTGAAAACTCACTTGTTCAAGCTGGCTTTTGTATGACCTTCTTCACCTCTCTCTCTTTATTCTGCTCTCCCCATCTATTCCACCTTCCTCAGGATCCACTGATTTCCCTCTTTCTTGTTCACTCTCTCTCTTTCTTAACATTTTTTAATCACAATTGCCCATTTTTGCTCATTTTAATTATATTTTTAAACATTTTCTAAATGCTTTTTTATATTTTTACATTTTTTGTTTTTGTGAAACGCCTCGTGATTTTTTATCTTGAGAGGCGCTACAGAAACGATACTTTCTTCTTCTTCTTCTTCTGAAATAAAGTTTAAACGAGTTCAGATCAGCTGTTCATAATAAAAAGTTTAATCTTTGAGTCACTTCTGGGAATCAACCGGTTGCTTGTGCACGCATATGGACGACAGAACGGAAACAGACACGTCTTAAATATGAAAATCTGCAAATGCTTTTGCTTGAGAACGCAGCACACGGAGGAGCAGTCTGCAGCAGGACCGAACCTCGGTGGCATTGTTACAGCTCTCCATCTGTTCGCCTGTAGACTTAAAAAATAAATAAATAAAAGGTCTGAGCACACCAGCGAACAGAAACATAATCAATCAGCAGCTGCAGGGCGAACAGGCACGGGCATATCTGCTCCTTGAAGTGCCCAACCTTACTGGAAATAAACTGCACGGGCTAATCGAGGTAAGAAGGTAAACTCGGTCACGTCTGCTCATTTACACAACACTTGGAGATGAGTACGCTCTCCCTCCATAAGGGAATAAACACTCAGTATCAACAGTTATCATGGCCCAGATCTTTGCAGTAAATCTGTTTATTTTTTCCGTGGGGATACGAGAGAAGCTCTTAGTGCGCTAATTAGAGAACGATAGATGAGAGATTGATCAGGCCGCTGCTTTTGTGGAATTAGCAAACCATTCTTAAAATGATCTCATGCATCATTTGTTGATGCTCATGCAGCTGCTGATGAAGGAGGGGAGTGGAAATGTATTAGCTCCTGTGCACATTTCCTTAGTTTTTGCTTCGGTTTTAGGCAAATATAACCTGAATGGATACAAAATGCAGTTTTTAAAATGACAATTTCATTTCATTGTTAAAAAAAATCGTATCCAAACCAACCTGGCTCTATGTAAAACAGTAAATGACCCCCTAAACCTACTACTGGGCCACATACTCAGTGGCCCAGCAGCATGGACGTAATTTTGGGGGTGGGGGGGGGGAAATGTCCCCCCCACTTTTTCCAAAGACAAGTTTTGACCCCTGCACTTTTTGCCCATCCCAAAACAATATTACGCTATATTAAATCGACACTGGTTGAGCTCTAGGACCAAGCGGAAAACAACCATTTGTGTTGAAGCCTGTTTGCCATTAGAGCATACTGTAAAGATACCCCACCAACCCACCTCCACCCCCTGTGTCCCCCCCACTTCTAAAGTGAAAATTACGTCCATGCCCAGCAGTAAGAGTCTCCACCTGAGACTGGGAGATCGTGGGCTCAAATCCACGGTTGGGTCAAACCACAGACCTTTAAAATGGGACTCAGTGCCTCCCAGCTTGACACTTGTATGTGTGTACGCGCACGTGTGTGTGCGTGTGGGGGGTCTTGTTCTGTGTGAAAACGAAGCGGTACAAGTGATAATGCTGCAGGATTTCACAATGTTATCCTCCTCAGCAGCAGCACTGCAGGTGCTCTCCATGTCCAACATGTGCGTAAGCCGGGTCCTCAGTCAACTTAAAGTTGCGCACATTTTTCTGCTAAGTTTTCTTTGATAAATCCCAAAGGTTGCGTGGAAATTTGCTTACGCAGTTTTCCGACCTCGTTTTGTGCGTAAGCAAGCTCGATAAATGAGGCCCCTGGTTGTGACACCTTTGGTGGAAACAACTTGTGGAGGACGTTTCGGAGCCCCACTCAGTTTTACTTGACCGCTGCTCAGCATTAGACGAACATCATTCACCATCTGCTTACATACAGATGTCAACCACAGGGTGCGTATGCACGGAGGTACCTAGATGGAGCAAAGTTTTCGAGTTGCCACAGCTGCAAAGGCACGGCGGATCGTGGAGCAGCTACAACTGCCTTCACAGGCACAAACAACACCGACTCCATGACAGCCTGCTTCTACTTGGAAACGGACAGAAGTAAAGAAAAACCACAAAAACCAACAAGGGGATTTACCTTGGACCTGCTTTTCAACAGTGAATGAATCTCCGAGTTCGACTTGGATGTCGAACTATGCAGAGTTTGCGACATTTCAAGTAAGTCTTTAAAAAATATATTGATGATTAAACAGCAGAGAATAATAATTGTGCGTGTTCACAAACGAGAGGCACAGCTTCCAGCGGTATCACAGAAGCAGGAAGATCAACGCGTTCTCACACCCAAAGCGGCTAAAACTGACAAAAGGTGACCAAGCGTCTGATTCCGATGCGTTGGAAGCCCCAACGCATCCGGAGGCGACGTGCTGCGCCAGAGCGTCGCTTTCGGATGCCCGCGGTAAAACAGAGATTTTACCTAATTGTGACTTTTACCCTCTGGCAATTTAACCTTCCCCTCACCCCCATCCTAACCTTAACCCACTTGCGCATGCAAAACTTTGTTTCTAGCTGTCTCGTTGCTCTCAAACACGGTTAACGGGAAATTTAGAACGATAAACCGGGGTAAAGTTAGGATGGGGGTGAAGGGAAGGTTAAATCGCTAGAGGTTAGAGGTTAAATGCCAGTGAAATCTCCGTTTTACCATGGGCATTGGAAAGCGACGCTCTGGCCAATGCGTTGGAAACAAACGCTTGGTCACCCTTTGTCAGTTTTAGCCGCTTCGGGTGTGAAAATGTGTTAAGCCGGGTGTACACTGTGCGACTTTTTCACTTTTTTGAGCCGATTTTCCACTCGTGCGAGAATCCACGAGATCGGGACGAGTTTTGCGCTGAGCGTCGTGTAGTGTACAGGGGGTTACGAGAGGCGATGAACACCACGTGACCAGCTGCCGATCAGCAGTCGTGAGGTCGCACGGACTTCTGGCGTGTTTGATGTTTTGCTCGTCCCTCGTGAGGGTATCGCACTGTTGAAGCGGCGCTGCGAGCAGCTGCGACCCAAAAAGTACCAGAACCGCTCACGGCGCATGCGCAATCATGCATCAACGCCGCTCGCCCGCTATTTCCCTAATAACACACGTTGTTCCTTTTTTGTTTCTACACATTTTTTTTACTCACAAAGATTGTCAAGAAAGCATGTTTGTCGTGTTCATGTCAAATTAAACTGATCACAAAACACAGATTTACTTTCTTTATTTCGTTTTCCTCATCCAACCCCCATAAATCCCTGTGTGTCCTCCTGCAGCACTCCCGAAGGACAACAGGCAAAACAAGACAAAAAAGTCTGACGTGTTGAGTAAAAACTGCTATTTTTAGCATATTTTTAGGTCCGACGTGTTGCTACCAGACGTACAGTGTGAGCGCATGGCTCGTGAGATCTGCCCTGCGAGGAAGTCGTACAGTTTGAGCTGAAGCTGAGTGCTACGAGTGAAAAAGTCGCACAGTGTCCGCCCAGCATTAGGTAGATAGACTTAAAGGTGCAATACATTTTATTCACCTCTAGGTGGTGCCCTCAGAGAAAATACTCCAGATTTCTGCTTTAAGATTTTCTGGCAAAGAGCAGATCCATCGGTTACAGCAGAAGTCCAAAACCATCATGCTACCACCACCATGCTTCACTATTAGTATGATGTTCCTTTTCTAAACTGTGGTTGATTACAGTTCATTTCAGACTTAACAGGGGGCCAGGGTGGTTTAGATAGCTTTTGGTACCAAATTATATCATAATTGGAAAACTGCTCTCTTAGTTTGACAATTTTTGCCTGATATTGGATATTTTTCAACAAAAATTGAAGAAATTAATGTGGCAAATGCTTTATTTGTCCATTACTGTGTCATCTGTTAGTTCGCTGAAGCACAATGAGACAGGATGCCTCTGACAAATTCAATACAAGAATCCCATGATTTAAAACACTGACCAGAATGTGTCTCATGCATTAGTGTCTGGGGTGGGGTGTATTCTTGTGTCCGTTTACATAAGCGTGTGAGAGAACAATTGACCGAGAAGAAAGAGCGGAAGAGAGACGCTTTTGGAATTAATGCACTTGTTTGTGTTTATGTTTATTAATAAATCTTACCTCGGTTTGGGAACCTTCTCTTCAGGAAAAGGCGTCCAGGTGGAGTCTGGGGATTTCTGCTCTTTGAAGCGCCCCGTAAATGTGTGCGCCACCTCCGCCATGTCATAAGCACACACCGCTGAGCCCGGAATACTGCCGCAACACAAACACACACACAATTACGGACAACTGTGTGGACAATCCGGCTGAACGAACATTTCAAAGAAACACCTTGCCTATTCTGGACTATCACCAAGGGATAAAAGCGTGGATTTACAATCCCGCTTCAGAGCGAGTAAATCCCCTCAGAATGCCGCGATTTTGGAGCTGCATGTGGTTTTATTTAGAAGGAAATATAAAAAGCACATTGCGTTGTTCGTTTATGTTCCTGATGATGTTCTAGCTTTTCCACATAGTGTTTCAGGAGTCGAAGAGTTTGTGGCTGCTCTCCCTCACAAGGACATTCTTTCCCTCCCTTCCACGGGTTTCCCCCAAAACTCTCGTGGCACGAAAAGTTCATCAAAAGTCCACCGCTGGGCTTCGAATACGAACAACAAATTATTTTATTATTGCCTCTGACTTAAGGGGGTGGGGGAAAATACCCATCTTGTGATAGCAGCAGAGCCACTGACACGATCTTTTGTGTGGAATCAATGCATAGCTGATGACTGAGTCACGTCTCTGTTTTTATTTTATTTTATTTTATTTTATTTTTGCATCTTCCTCCAAACTTTAAACCGAGAGCGGTTTACAGGGAGAGATCTTCTCTTTGTGCCTCTCCTTGCTGGCAGGCCTTTCCTGCTGTTGCATCATGAGTTAAACTCATCTCGCAGACATCGGGGAGGCCTGAATACACAAGGGCAGTATTATTAACAGCAAGGTCAGAAAGCTGCTAATTCTTGGCTCAGCTGCTCAATTACAGTAATTACTGTCTGCAGCGGAGATGTCCAGAAAGTAAGACAGTTATTTTTTTGTTTTGTATCTGGGCTGCTAACAAGGCCAAACACTGAGAATGAAGCTGGTCAGTTAGCAAGTGGCTCAGTTGGGCAGCGACCCTGCAGAGCTCTCAGACAGACGCTTAAATGACAAAACGTGCCTCCTCTGATTTCCCTCCCTCACTGTGAAACGGAGAATTAATGCTAGGATCAAACTGGGTGCTTTAGAAACTTTCAGAGGCACCGCTTCATTGGGTTTTAATGTCCATTAACCATGCTCAATTGCGTTGTCACAAGTAATTGTCTTATCTGCTGAAAAGCCGCCGTAAAATAGAAAATTACAATATGTATGAGCTATCAGCCGAGCGCCGTGGCTTTGAGCTAATTTTCAATTTAGATAAAAAAAACTCCCACGGCCTTCGAGAAGAGTTCAGAATACCAATCGGAAAGCAGAAAATAAGATTTAACACCTGCGAGTCAAAGGGGCAGCAAACTTGTTTTGACAGAAGATGGAAATGTTGACCCAGTAAGATTCTGAAATTACACGTCACCAAGAGGTGCAGCTAGGGATGGGTACCTTTGACATTTGAATCGATTCGGTACTCATTCCCGGTACCTAGAAATCGATACTGGTACTTAACGGTACCAATTTTATATACTTTTGAGCGTTTAATATTTTTAATTCTCTTTTATAATTAAATATATATTTTTCTCAATATATAACCATATTTGATAAATATCACAATAAATAACATACAACTGTTTGTATTTTAACATCGTCCTTGTAGTTTTATAAGCTGATAATTAAACTGAAGCAAACATCTTTACTGTGAACTAAATTTACTGTGTATCTTCATTCCTTTTGCCGTCCTTTTTCATTTGACTTTTCCTACTGGGAAGTTAGAATTTCCGAGGAGAAAGCGAACGCACCATTAGCTGATAACAATGGTGGCAATGGAAGCTAACATATCAAGCTAACGTTATCTTAAACAGTTTATTTAACTGCTGGAGCAGATTAAAACGATGATGCCTCACACTTACATCGTTGTCGCTGGTTTCATCTTCACCCAATCACCCGTCGCATTTAGTAAAGTGAAGCCAAACTTTAGAGCGCGTTCATGTTCTTCTAGTCGGAAAATCGGAGTTCCGAGGAGAAAGCGAACGCACCATTAGCGAAACGGAAGCTAACATATCAAGCTAACGTTATCTTAAACATTTCATTTACCTACCGGAGCAGATTAAGATGAGGATGTCTCACTTAGATCGTTGTTGCTGGTTTCATCATCACCCAGTTACCATCACATTTAGTGAAGTGGACCCAAGCTTTAGCGTGCGTTCTTTCTACCATGCTGCTCTGTTTACAACTCGCTCGCAGCGACCGACGACATAACGCTCTTGCGCATGCGCAGCTGTCTTGGCAAGTTCTCGTTATGAAGGACGGGCACCGAAACGAGGCACCGTTTCAAATTACGTGAATCGGTGCTCAGTCGGTACTATGGAATTCGGTCTGTACCTTAAAAAGTACCGAATTCTGTACCCATCGCTAGGTGCAGCGGGATCAGCTACTGACCTTCGTAAGGCCAAACTGTTGAAACGCTGAGAACTCAAACCGAGAAAGCTAACACAAGTAATAAAAGTCACTTAGAATAAGGGAAATAAACTCATCACGAGTTTTGTTTACCTGTTGTAAGGTGTTGAGAAAGTTGCCATGACGACGTCTCTCCCGTTGATGTGGAGGACATCTGTCACAGCCTGAAGGATGTTGAAGTAGAAGTGAGAGTCTCCGGGGATGGAGCAGTTCAGGCGGGATTTTAGAAACGAGGTCCACTGCTTCTCCAGGACACGAGGCGAGCCGCCCCGGTCGTTCTTACAAACCCTCGCCACACGAGGAAACACCACCTGAAAGAGTCATTCAGGAAGTTACATGTAAATATCCACATGTCACTTTTTTTGACATCTCAGTCTGTGAAAGGAAAGAATTTAGCACTGGGCCCCCTGCAGCGCTGTCAGACTGGTGATGGACAGTTTCACAAAAGACTTCCTAATTGTTGCTGCAGAGGAAAGAATCACTGACAGCAGCTGATTGTATTTTTATATGAACGAATCCAGAGACACACATGTAAGAGGCCAACAGTTCCAACGTGTCTGTAGGTGTGAGTGAAGCTTGGCTCGGTTTTAGCTCTGCAGTGGATGGGATATTTATATGTTCTCCCTCTGGCCCAGACTCATTTGAAGCTGATGGATGATGAATAGTAGCGTTCAACAACTATAAACGATGACGGGGTTCCACATTCAGAGCCGGAGAGGAATTTAATAACACTGATTTTTCTGGAAAAAGCTGATCTTAAAGTCAAATTAGACTCTTTCACGCTTTGTCACCTTACATTGTTGGGCTTGTTTAAATGACGTGAAGAAGAAACAATAATGGAGCATACATTTCATTTTGAAGACTCAAATCTGTGTGTCTTCTGACTCGTCTCAATTCTGGAGCATTTATCGTTAAAGAGACAAATGATAACTTTCTCCTTAGTTGTATATATATATATATATATATATATATATATATATATATATATATATATATATATACACATACACACACACATATATATATATATATAGCATATAAATATGTAAATATATGTGCTATATATATGCTATATATACAGCACATATATGCATGCTATATATATAAGTATATATATAGCATATATATATGTGTATATATATAGCATATATATATGCTGTATATATAGCATACCAGTATACATATATATAGCACATATATATACATATTTATATGCTATATATATATGTATATATATGTGCTATATATGTATATAGCACATATATATACATATTAATATGCTATATATATACAGGGGTGGACATTAACTTCAAAACCAACCGGCCAGCCGGGCCGGTAACTCTGAATATTTACCGGCGCCGCCAAGAATCTACCGGCCCCGCTGGTCAGCTGCCAAAACGAGTCAAAATAACAACTGAACCGTTTTAAATGTAATAAACCTTTATTTTGTACACATTCGCATACATAATAACGTATTCAAGTTTGGATTTGTTTTTTTCCCTCAACAAAACTCGATTTTGTCGTCGCATACTTCTGGCATACAACGCAGTACATCACCAACTCCGCTTTGCTGTATTCGAGCCATTGGCTGTGTTCGAGATGAGCCAGTTCTGCGCAGGTTAGACCAGCGGTGATCGACGAGCAGTGCATGCAGGTTAGATTTGTGTGTGACTTGACACCGAATTGATCTGACGTCATGCCCAATGGCATATGCATATATATATATATATATATATATATATATATATATATATATATATATATATATATATATATATATATATATGCCCTGAAGAAGGTTGCACGTGACTGAAATGCGTCTGCTTCTATTAAAATAAAAAAAATTTTTGGAGTGCCTCAGATCATGACTTTCTTTCTTCCATATCTACTTTTGAAGTTTTTATGATCTTGAAGAGCAGCAGTCTTCAAGAAGCAGGTAGACAAACACATAGCCACAAAGTCAGGCAAACTCCAAGCTTGAGTAATAAAAGATGAGTCAGTGAGGATTTGAAGCAGAAGTTGAATGATAAGCTGCATTACGGAGGTCTTAGAAAAGTACCAATGCTACAAATATTCCCTTTATGTACAAACTTAATACGACCATAAATAAGTTACTGAATTTTATTACATTTATGTAATTTTTTTTTCATTATTCCCTAAAATATTAGAAAAATTATCAAAAGAGCAAACCGTGAAGATTAAAACTTTTAGCAACTGCAGTAGACATTTAATTTTTAAACATGCACAAACTTCTTCTGCAAACCCTAAAGAATCTTTGGAAAACACCTGAGTTTCAAATAAGCCTTTTTTTTCTCCTAGTTTTGCAAATTAGACAGAGGAGTAAATTGTTGTATTGATATGCTGTTTGTGAGTCAGCACCTGGCAACAGAAAGTTCCAACTATACAGCATCAAATAAGCGTCGCACTGTAATTACAACTCTGCTCTTAGATCTTGCAGCCAGTGTTGTAATTAGCTGTTGTCACACTATACTTAACAGCTATAGCTCCAGCCATGGCCCAAAATTGACAGTGTGAATAGGGTAGCAAACATGCATTTAAACCAGATCTCCACAAACACACACACCCCTCAGCCCTGCACACGCCGCAGACCTGCACTTCTACACACGCAGCCAAAATGAATCAAAAATTCAGCGGCTATAAAAAGCCCAATAAAGCGTTCTCAGCTCTGCTTGGTGTTTAATTGCAGAAAGGCGTTCAGGAGAACGGGTGACGGTGTGAAGTTGAAGGTGAAATAGAGGTCCTTTTTCATTAGGTTGCTATGAAAATTAAATAAAAGTAGTTCTAGGGATGTAAGAAAATATCAATATGACAAAATATCGTGATATTTTTTCACGTAATATTATATCAATATTTAAAAGCTATGAATCAAATTTTGGGAAGAATTTACATTCAAACATTTGTGTATTTTCTTTTCTTTTAGTGCAATTCAAAGCCGAAAGTTAGTTGGCAGCAGTGTGCAATGGGTTTTGTTTCCACCATTGACATGTAAATCCCTCTGTCATGGTTCAGAACCTCATGTTAAACATGTTAAGTAAGACTGTGCGTTGAATTTTTGTACAATAAAAGTCTAAAAAATTGTTAATCGCAATATATCGTAATATATCGTATCGTCTCCCCTGTATCACGATACGTATCGAATCACCAGAATTTCACCAATACACATCCCTAAGTAGTACATTTGTGATTTTCATCACACGTAAAGACAATATTCACCAGTTAAGACATTTTTAATTCAGATGTTTTTTCTGACTAACAAGTCATCCTTTACATATCGCCTGGCCAAGACCTGTAGACCGAGCTCAGTGTTTTAAACCGTCTCCGCACGCAGTTAGTATATTTCCTGTATTTTGGGCGACGGTGGCACAGGAGTTAAGTGCTGGCCTCGTAATCAAAAGGTTGCAGGTTCGAGCCCCGCTCAGTCTGTCGTTGTGTCCCTGGACAAGACACTTAACCCACTTTGCCTGCTGGTGGTGGTCGGAGAGACCTGTGGTACCTGCGTACGGCGGACTCTCCTCTGTCTGTGTGCCCCAGGGCAGCTGTGGCTACAATATAGTTCATCACCACCATGGTGTGGATGTGTGCATGAATGGGTGAATGACTGGTTGCGTTGTAAAGCCTCTTGGGGAGTTCTATGACTCTAGAAGGCGCCATATGAAATACACACCATTTACCACTTGTATAGCACCTTCCAGGATTCTATAACCCCCCAAGGCACTTCACAACACACTCATTCATTCACCCATGCCCACACCCATTCACGCGCTGGTCAACGATTGGCTCGGCCAGGTTTTGGTCTGATCAATCTCAGCGCTCTATGTTTGTAGAGACATTTGGCTGGCTTGGAACCATTACGGTTCTGGCAAATGGACAGAATAGATAGAACCAATCAGAGCAATGGACAATGTGAAGTATTCATGATGTCAGTCAATAGGGCAGTCCGCCATGCACCCCACATACCTCTGCTCTTGTCTAAACCGCTCCAAGGTGATGTCGAAGAAGTTTTAAACATACTCCTTTCTTGAGCTGACGCCATCTTGGTTGTTTTGTTCCATCATAGTTCTGCTGTCATTGTAAAACGGTGCTCTGCTGTAACGGTCCTAAGCCCACCCGATGTCTCTTTACAAACACAGAGCTCTGTGACACATCTGGCCTGAACTAACCCGAGCCAACGGTACATCAGCCGAGGCTGCGATGGAGCATGGCTACACCAAACTACAGGGCAATCATTTTTGTCACTGCTACAATTTTCTACATTTCAAGGCTAAGTCAAAATCAAAATGGAAGAAAATCCCAAATCGCACACAGTAGATTCACAAGTTAGCCATAAAACATGAGCGACTCTTTATGTTGTCGGGGAAGGCCATTCTGCTGGGAAATAATGAAGAGATATCATTCACTAAATGTTAAATTGCTCTCTGCTCCATCAGTTCTCCCACCACATGCATAATTACACTGACACTGCTTTCAAAACACCCAGCAGATTGAGAAGCTTGATCTGTATTCATGCTCTATATAACACACGGCTGTCATTTCTGGCAGTGAATCCATTATTCCTCGTGTTTCCATACTGCCTCGACTCTGTTCTCGTACCATTCATTCCCCCACCGTACATCTCCTCTTTAATGCATTCTGCAAAGTACATATTCATTTCCATCACAGATTTTCTTCCTACCTGCTGCCCAATTAAACTTTCTCATTGCAGGATTCAAAACTGAATCGAGGAGATTAGGGGAGAAATTCCCGTCCCCGCGGTGTAATACCCCAGGAAAGGGTGTTTGTTCTTCAGCGGCTGTGATTCCAATTCAGGTCATTTCTCTGAGACGCTTGGTCGGAATTTCTCTTGGGAAACACTGAGACAAAAGGTCAAACGGGTGCACTGTGGGATGGATGCGGATGTGCGTTTCAAATGGTATGCTTAGACTTGAAAATGGGATCTCCAGACGTCCACAGATTTCGTTTTGGGAGCTATTTTTAGTCCTGTATCCTGTTCAGTGATTCTAAAATACGTTTTGGCCACTTAGCAGCTCGTGAAAGCCTACTTCCCATTATGTGATACACCCGCATCCTGTTGGCTTCGCCAGGCATTTCCTGACCCCCCCCCCAGCAAATAGGAAGTCATCTCTGATTAGAGTTCAACCAACTGCAAAAGAATAGGGCCCGTGCTTACCTTTCCCATTGTGTTGTACTCCATGGCAATTTCCCGAAAGAAGAAATAGATGAAGTCTCCGTAATTGACTGCCTGGACAAAGTACGGTTCTGAAAGGGCAAAAATAAAAGAAAATGTGAGTCAAAGTGATGCTTTGCCATGACAAATCAGTTCTGACACCGTATTTCACAGTAAACAGGCTCAATATCTGTCAGATTATGCAGAAAATCAGCAACTGTGAATGTTGAGCGCATCAATCTTTAATCCTTTACATCAACAAAATCATTTGCATGATAATAGAAATCTATTGAGTTTTGACGGACTAGACTTTTGTTTGTTTCACCTCAGGGAAGAACAATTTCAGCTGCAGCAGGACGGCAAAACATGTCTGCGTCAAGTAGCTTTAGCATGAGTGGTTCTGCATGTACTGACATTACCGTCGTTTAAGCACAGAGGTGCAAAAACAAGTTAGCGACGTACTGTACGTCTCAGTCAAAGCTCTGGTTCTTTGATCGGGTGTCCCCAACTCACCTTTCAGCCATTTGGAGTCATGTTTGACAGTGCGAAGAGTCGGGCTGTCGCCAAGGCTTCGATAGATGACCGCATCGATCGCTAGGAAGTCTGTTACGGTGGCTGAGTACAGCTTGCCATCTGGAAAGGGGGTGCCGAGACAGAGCGCACAAAGAAGAGATGGAGAAGAAAAGAGTGAGAAAGAACGAGGGAGCCACAAAGCAGTAACATTAAGAGAGTCTTGCTTTTTCTTCTAGATGCAAAAACATCCGTCTGATCCAGACCAAGAAACGAACGAATCACATAAACCAAAGGGATGGTTTGATGCACAACAAACATGTTGCACACGTGCAATTATCCAATCCGGCCAAGGCTGGAACCTTGCACTCACATCCAGGCCTGGGCCACATTCTTCCATGGACACACATGTGCCTCTCAAACACAATGCAGCACCAAAGTGACCTCAGCCTGCTTCGGCTGTAACCACAGTGGAAACTCAAATGGCATAATTGAAAGGATCGCAGTTAGAGGAACCCTCTTGATTACTCAGAGCTCCCAGCTCCTTCCAAGCTGCCCTGCTGCATATCAACCGCTCAAGCTCGGCATTTACTGTCGTCATGTGCTTTAAAGCGGCCAGGACAGCTCATCAATAGTGCCATAAATCGCTTCACAAGACTGGATGTCTTCAGCAGCCCGTGGATCTCACCCCGCCAACAAAGGGCTGACTCATTCTAATCTTGTGTTTTAATCACATGCATACTGAAAACTCTGAATGAGAAACAAACGGACGAACCAAAAGAAGTACAGTGCGATAAAAGCCTGAGAAAATAGTTTTTCTGTTTCCACAGGAACACGGATTATTTTCTAAGAAGCCAATTCCTGACATGGAGCACATATGATCCCAAGTTTTAAAGGACTTGCTCTGGAGCTCGTCTCACACGCTGGCTTTCCTTTCCGACATGCTGTCAGAATCCTCCATTAGAATAAACCACAGGATATTAAGGACAAAATTATACACAACCGCTTCTAATCAGTCACTCAAACACACTTGGCTTTGCGATCTAACTCCGAACTGTTCCAGCGTTTAGTGGCTCGAGATAGCAGGAAATTGGGATTAATGTCTTTTCCTCGTGTGGCGTTTAAAAAGCACACGCTACCAGACCCTTAAGCAACTATTAACTCACGTAAACTTTTCGTTAATGACAAATCAAAAGAGCAAAGATGGCAATAATAGAAAATCGACCAATTTTGGTAGCGGAATAGGCGTTTTTTTTTAGAAATCAGGCTAACCAATGACCCTTTTATGAAGCTGATTTGGGTTTTTTTACATTACAATTTACTTTACTAGATTATAAAACCACAAAAAAGAAAGCGTCTTGTAATAATTTCCCACAGTGACCCAAATGGTCAAGGCAAGGCAGCTTTAAGCACATTTCATACACCGCAGCAATTCAATGTGCCTTCCATTAGCAAGAATGGCATGAACATTAAAATCAATGTGACAGCTGACTTATCGTTTTACACCACATTAAATCCACAAATAAATTTCTGATTTAAGAAGCAGAAGAAAAGTTCAAATTAAAGGGTTAGCAGTTACAGTGCAGAAGGTGCAGCAATAACCTCATTCACTCAAAGGCTGATCAATACATGAATTTCGATTTTGAGTCAAAAGTTACTGGAGATGGGGAAGATGTGAGTTCATAAGGAAGCTGATTCCATCTGTGTGCAGTAGCGATGGGTACCGAATTCGGTACTTTTTTAGGTACCGACTGAATTCCATAGTACCGACTGAGCACCGATTCACGTCATTTGAAACGGTGCCTCGTTTCGGTACCCGTCCTTCACAACGAGAACTTGCCTAGACAGCTGTGCATGTGCAAGAGCGTTATGTCGTCGGTCGCTGCGAGCGAGTTGTAAACAGAGCAGCATGGTAGAAAGAACGCACGCTAAAGCTTGGGTCCACTTCACTAAATGTGATGGGTAACTGGGAGATGATGAAACCAGCGACAACGATCTAAGTGAGACGTCCTCATCTTAATCTGCTCCAGTAGGTAAATAAAATGTTTAAGATAACGTTAACTTGATTTGTTAGCTTCCGTTCCGCTAATGGTGCATTCGCTTTCTCCTCGGAACTCCGAATTTCCGACTAGAAGAACATGAACGCGCTCTAAAGTTTGGCTTCACTTTACTAAATGCGACGGGTGATTGGGTGAAGATGAAACCAGCGACAACGATCTAAGTGTGAGGCATCATCGTTTTAATCTGCTCCAGCAGCTAAATAAACTTTTTAAGATAACGTTAGCTTGATATGTTAGCTTACATTGCTGCCATTGTTATCAGCTAATGGTGCGTTCGCTTTCTCCTCGGAAATTCTAACTTCCCAGTAGGAAAAATCAAATGAAAAAGGACGGCAAAAGGAATGAAGACACACAGTAAATTTAGTTCACAGTAAAGATGTTTGCTTCAGTTTAATTATCAGCTTATAAAACTACAAGGACGATGTTAAAATACAAACAGTTGTTTGTTATATATCGTGATATTTATCAAATATGGTTATATATTGAGAAAAATATATATTTTATTATAAAGGAGAATTAAAATATTGAACACTCAAAAGTATCTAAAATTGGTACCGTTAAGTACCGGTATCGATTCCTAGGCACCGGGAATTAGTACCGAATCGATTCAAATGTCAAAGGTACCCATCCCTAGTGTGCAGCATAGTAGCTAAAAGCAGCTTCAATGGGATTGGTACATTCTTTCTTACCTTCAGTTTATAAAATTACAAATTTTTCTCTATGAAAACAATTAAAGTAAGCCAAATAAACATTTGAGACTCTAAAAGACAACGACTAAGGAGTAACAATCATCTCTGGTAACTACTTTCGCTCTGTCTTAAATTAAATTTTCTTCGGTGACTGCCGGTGGTTTGCTTAAAAATGCACACCTGCCATGAAAGGCATCCCGGGTCGTCTCAAGCTTAACTACACAAGTGTAAAAGATGACAATTCTTTTAAAAAAGGCAGCAAATGTCCTAAATAATCAGCCAATCAGTCTGTCCACCTCAGGATCCTAATTAATAAACACATTGTTGACTAGCTTCTATGGTATTATTTAACTTTACCTGCAAAAAGGGCAACGTTTGCGTGCTTGGCGTCATACGGACATCGTGCCATTCCACTGATCTCTTCTCCCAGCGGCTCCATGGTGTCCATCTAAGGTCAGAAAAGAGGTGAAAGGTCAGGAGCGGGTTTAAATTGTGAGTCAAACATAGCAAATGTAAGTTAGAACGCGTTGGCTCCCAGTCGAAGGCAAATAACCAAAAAGTCAAGAGAATCTGGCCAAGTGTCAAAACTATGACAGCTTATAGACAGTGAAACAATAAAAAAGTGTTACAGTGATAGATTTCAGTAGGTGTCATGATAAAATAGATCCAAATGCTGTCATATTTAACCCGGGAGAGTGTCCGTTTAACTCCGATGTGCTACTGGTGTCTGTCAAAGCTTCACATGTGGGAGTTTCTGGGAAACGGTCATGAAGAAAGATAAAAGAGCAGACATTTTCTGCAGTAATGTGTTTCACGGTACGAACGGATGGATCTTTTATCCCCCGTGTGCACTGATGTTGCAGAAGAGTTTTAACAACCCTCAAGACAGATCTTCAACCCATTTATTACACATCTATTTCCCCTGGCCTGATTTCTTAAGTCTGAGCTTTTATTTATTTATTTATTTTTTGCTGCGCAGACGGAAAAAAAACATGTGCAAAGGAGAAACGGGTGAGCACACAGCCCTGAGCGGAGGATGTGAGAAACTTTTACTAAACCACAGAAGTTTAAAAATAGTAGATCGTATAGTAGTGATTATTTTAGTGGGATTTGTGCAGCCTTGAGCTGAGAGGTTTTCCTATAGAGAGACGAGCTCACCGCTTCTCATTTTAGAAAAATACACATTTTTAATCAGCTTCTCAGAGATGAAAGTTGACTTTTTGTAGGACTAGGAATGCAGTTTGTCCAATATTCGCAGAGTTACTCAATAACTTCCTTTCTTGTAGTCACTATTCAGGGTTTAGAGCCAATATTTAAAGGCCATCTAGTTGGAAGATCTCATTAAATTATAATTTAGACAAGTTTTTCTCATTTTCGTTTGATTGGAATCGGCAGGAAAAGATCAGTCGGCACTGTCCCCTTTTGACCCTGGCTCAAAACCATTCAAAAGTGATGAAAGTTAAAGGTCAACTTTTCTCATGTCTGTAATACATTTGCAGTGGTCTCTAGTAGCAATGAATGCCTTGTAAGCCGTTTTCTGGGGAGAAAATGCTCTGGTGTGCATGTTTGAGAATGGAGAAGTCAGCCGGTGTCGGTACAGGATCTGCTCGGGGTCCTTCGACTGCCGATGACGTCAAAGTACGGCAAACCCACTCGGACAAAATACACTACACATCTTTATACTGTTGGAAAGAATTTAGCAGTTTCGTTATTAAAATAATGTTTCTTAAGACGTAAGTTTGTGTTTATAATGGTATTTGTAAAATAAAACACTATATTGTATTCATAATGTTGAACTCCTCTTTGAGCACATCCCTTGAAGGATCATAGGTATTAGCAACACCTGTGAAATTGTATTTGCAGGAAAGAAGTGTGTCCCGTTTATTGAAGTATTTTGTGTTTAGAGTTTTTGACGTCTTGTCCATGCGTAGTTCAGTTACGCTCATAGCTGCTAGCCAAAACTCTGGAGTTAAAAGTTTTCTGGCTTTACTAAAATACCTGTCTGTACTTATTTGATTGATGGTAGTTTTACTTTCTATTAGACTCCAAATGTAACCATTTGGCACGTTTCTAATTCATAATTTGTAAGAATGCAATCAGTGATATTAGCATTAGCATTCCTATGGGTTTTTCCACGTATATTAGCATTGCGCTAACTACTCGCTGCCGAATTGCAGCCTTTGCAATTAGAAAATCTCCTTTTGTCACATCGCAATTTAATTGCACATGCAGTTAATCGTTCAGCCCTAATGTACATGCAGCTCTATGCTAAAAGTGTATTTTCAAAGAGGTAATGATGGATTTCTTTGTATAAGTTGTCCATCTTTCCAACAGAAACGTTTGCCTGGACCAACATAACGTGACGTGATAACAACGAAACGTGATTACATAATTCCGTGAGGTTCATGTTCAGCCAATCAACTACTTTGACGTCATCGGCAGTCGATGGACCCCGAGCCGATCCTGTACCCACACCGGAGGAGAAAGTAGCTTCAGACAGCAGAATTTTGACTCTTGTTTCCTGATTTTTGGGCATCTTGCCTCTGATTGGCTACAAGCAACACAACTCTACCACTGACTCTGTTTGCTTTGCAATGTTGATGTTTTATACGCACAAATAACACACGCCTGAAGGAGTTCCGCTGTGTGGTGGAGTTGCTAATGCTAATGACTAGCTTCTACTAGCCAAGACTCGCTCTGCTTTCTCCTGGATGTGTAATCATTAACAACCTTCCCCGTTGCGAGTCAAAATTAGATGAGTCCATGAAGGTTGAGTGACAGTGTGACATAAATCTGTCAGGCTTTTCTGAACCAAGAGTTTTCCCATCTATTTTCTATCAGAAGCTAATGAAGGAAGTAGGGGCAGTAGACTATTTTCACTTTCTGCCTGCATGTTAAACTCAAAGTGACTGATCATTTCCACAAATAACAAGTAAAAAATGGTTCTCAGTGAGCCTAATCTTACTATTTCCTACGATCAGTTTCCAGTAGTCTTGTTCATTGCAAACATGTGTTCTTACTTTCTTTGTCTTTTGTGTTTTTTTTCCTTCACAAAGGCAAATGTAGCTCACTACGTCTGCAGACCGCTTACACCGCCCTTTCTGCTCTCTAAACAGGTCATTTTGTTTTCTATTCCTGTCTCAACGGAAACGGTTATCATCTGCCCACTAAAAAGGCCACACACACACACACACACACACACACACACAAATGCTTGAACAGTGAAATGGTGTAAAAGCTGGCCAGAGAAATTGTTGAGGCTGATATGGCAGAAACAAGTGACCTTTCACAACAAACAGAAGCTGTGGTGCATTGCTCAGATGAAATTATAGCAGAATAATGCAGGGAAATTGTTATTTGACTGGAGTTTGTACATAAAGAGCCACATAGTGATGCATTAATCCTCCCTCTATGTGACAACACCAAACGTACACTCTCTTATCCTTCCACCTCTTCCATCCCCTCAGATGATTTCACCAAGATGGTGACCTCTGCTTCTGGGCCTGGCCGGCTGTCACTAATCTGTTCCTGCCGTTTGAACGGTGGAAGACACTCCCAGGCTCGCCGCAGATAGGCTCCAGCCCCCCGTTGAGCTGGCATGTGTGGAGAAACAACACTCTTGTGGTCCCGTCCATGGTATTACCCATGTCTAAAGCAATAATCTGGATTTCAAAGCCGTCCGCCACGTTTTACCGCAAATATTTTTAAACAAGAAATGTCAATGATGGATGGATCTTTTTTCACTGTTTTTCAGACAAACAGTGTTACTCTGTCAAGCCCACAAACTCAAACAACGAAAGTGAGGAATGTAGCCTCGTCACTGGCTGTCAGGTCTGATTTAACACACTCACAGCTCTGAGGACCTCCCCAGCGGATTGAATGTACAGTAACTTTAGCTTGAGGTGCATCGTATCTGGATGAATTAATTACAACAACAGCTCATTTGTGCTTTCCATAGGCTATGTGCTAATTAATTAGACAAACACCAACGTAGAGCCAAGACATGCCCATTAGGAATGTTATAATTGGGTCAGAATTCATCGTGAGGATCTGATTTTGTGTTCCAGGGACTTTTGTTTATCGCTATTGCGGGGCTTGTCATCGAGGACGTTACTCTTCTTGTTCTTCAACAAGATTTTTGGGTTCAACTGAGTTAATATCCTTTATCATCCAGGGCCGAGTCAATCCTAGCGGCATTTTCAACTCAAACATGAAATAATATCATTTTTAACCTGTAGTGAAAGCTTCATTAACTCATTAACTGCAGAGCCGTGTCCAGGACTTTTAAAATGGGGTGGCCCATGTGGGGCACTTGTTTATTCATGGGTGGCACCAATGGTTATGCTTATTTATTTATTTACACAAATCGTTTACTGGTTGGTGGTCAGAGGGGCCGACGGCGCCAAATGGCAGCCTCGCCTCTGTCAGACCTCCCCAGGGCGGCTGTGGCTACAAGTAGCTTACTATCACTAGCAGTGTGTGAATATGAGAGTGTGTGAAAGCGTCTTAGGGTGTCTAGAAAAGCGCTACATAAGTTCAATGCATTATTATTATTATTTATTTATTTACTTTCTATTGAATTTTTGAGTTTCACATTGCACAGTCACCATTTTTTTCCCCTCTTCATCTTCTAGTTTTGTGGTGGTTAGCAAGTCTCTTCTTGTTGCATTACTGCCACCAACTGGAGTTGAGTGGGACTGATTTAACACACATACTATGTATGTGAATATGAAAAAATATTAAATGTTCTGTAGGCCTGGGCTAGAAAACAAGGTGAAAGGTGCGTGCAACCACACACTATTCTGGAGTTTAAACCCAAGCCTTTTGTCGACAATGTAAAGTCAATTTAAACTGGAACTTAGTGGGGTGGCACCTGGGGTGGCCAATCAGATTCTAAGGGTGGCATGTGCTACCCCAGGCCACTCCCTGGACACGCCCCTGATTGACTGCCAATGACGACTAAAGGCGTCATTTGCATTTTTTTACTGTGTGGGCATCGGAACGAGCCCCCGCACCGTGAGAGCAAACATCCCAGCTCCAAAGCCGATCTTCATCCGCGTACGTCACACGTCACTTTTTGGCGTTGACATCATCATAGAGCGCAATGTTCTGTGACTCTTAAAAAAACTGTGAAAACGCTGAAAAATGCTGGCAGCGAAGTGCTTTTCTGATCAGGAAACGACTGACAGTGAATGAGTTAATGCAAGCTTTTAAATAACGTCAATGCTACTTATTTTATTATTATTAATGGAGCGTTGCTAGACTGACAGAACAAAATGATTTTGCTTCAGCAACTGTCTAAATTTCTGAGCTAATAAGTTTGACTATACTTACTAAAATATGTGTCGACCCAAACTAATTACAACAACTAGAGTTGAAATCTTAGATTAACACCATTAATAATTAGCTATATTGGTGTGGAAAGTGTGTTTAAGTAAGCTTGTTTGA